CCGTTGGCCACCAACGAATCACGACGCATCCGCGCGCGCCCGTCGGCCGCGGCCGCATCCAATGCCAGCCGGTGCCGGACACTCGCGGCCACACGCCGCGCGACCATCGACGAGACCGCGTCGTTCCGTGCGGGCGCAGCGGTCTTGGCGACCAGCGACGCCAGCAGGGCGCGCTGGTCGGGAGGAAGCATTCCGGCCTGGGCGACGGCGTCGACCACGGCATCTACAAGGTGTTGCGCGGTTGAGGGGGCCGTATCGGTCAAAGGCGTGCCGCGGTCCGGGTCGATCCCAAGCACCGTGAGCAGGCGCGCGGCCAGCGCCTGGGCGGCGGGCACCGCACGCGGTGCGGTGGTCGGGCGTGCACCGCGGGTCCCCGCAAGGGGAGCGGCACTCACGTCCAGCGTGACAGTCGCGTTGCGGAACCACGGGACAGCGTTGCGCGCGACCATGCACAGTGCGGCGGCCGTGGCCAGAGCCTGCAGGGCGGCTTGGGCGTCGCGCAGCCGCTGCGCATCAAGCGCGAGCGTCTCGGGCACCGAGTCGAGGTCAATGGGCGTCGCGGACATGACGAGAGCGACAAGGGCGTCGTGATAAACATCCTCGAACTTGGGCCGCGTCGCATCGGTCAGTGGAACACCCTCCGGGTTACGTGCGCGGCACGTAGCGAGTTGGTCGCGCGCAGCGGTGCCGAGCCACGCGTCAGTCCGCGCGAGCGCGGCGGTCGGATCCTCGACGAGGGCGAGCCGTTCAGCAAACTTCTTGGCCTCGTACTCGACGGCCTGCGCCTGCAGGACCGGACGCAGCTGGTGCAAGTGGAAATTGGCCATATCGAGCTGCATCTTTTCGAGTAGGTCGTGGATCTCGACAATCACGTCCCCAAGCGCCGGCTTTTGCGCCAGAGCCTGGATCTCGGCGTCGCGCGCGGGAGCGGCAATCTGGAGCATGAGCCGCATGATCGTGCCGAGCAGCGCCTGCACGTCAATCTCGCGCGTGTGCGTCCACTGCTGCTGGAGGAGGTCCGGGTCGAGCGCGCCTTCGATCGCCGCGCGTAAAGCGGGCGCGTCCTGCGCCATGCCGACGAGCGCCGTGCGCACTTCGCCCACGAGATCGATCAGGAACGACAGGTCGCCCTGTGCGGCCAAGTACTCGATCCGTTCCTTGAACGCGCGCTGCGCGGCCAACTTGACGGCGCGCGCGACCGAGTTCGTTTCCGTCGGCGCACGCAGCTGGAACTCCGGGTTCACGACCAACTCGTGCGCGAGCGCGTGGTTCGTGGCAATGTCGCGGATCCGGCGCCGCGGGTCATCGCTCGGACCGCGCGCATGCTCCGGCGGTGTCGGCGGCATTGGCTGCACGCGCACGGGCGACTCGGCGCGCGGCTGTGTGCGGTGCGCCTCGGCGTCGTCAACGACCACAAGTTGCGCGGCACGCTTGCTTGGCGACGACGGGACCAGGACCGAGTCGTCGGCGGGGGACGCTGACCGTGCGTCCGCGGGAGCGTCTTCGAGGACGTGTGCGAGCCCTTCGCGGTCGAGCGCGGCTTGCATTTGCGCAACGCCAGCGTCGCCCGCGACGTGTGCGAGCCGCTGTTGCATGACGCGCACCTGCGCGAGAATCGACGGGCGCCATTCGGCGTCGGTCACGTCCGACGTGCCAGTCACGTTGGCGAGGAGGCGCACGAGTTCGAGCGCGTGCGCAACGAGGTTGGTGACGATGCCCTGCGTGTCGCGCGACTTGAAGGCTTCGAAGGTCGTGTGGTACGCAAACCAAGCTTGCAGGAAGGCCGACAAATCCGTGTAGAGCGAGGTGCGCGAGACGGTGGCCGCGGACTTCGCGGTGCGTGGCGCCGCGTGCTTGACGAGCTGCACAAGGGCGTCGTGCATGGTGCGTGCGGTGCCAAGGAGTTCCTGATGTAGATTAAGTAATCAGTTTGCGTAAACAAAAGTGACGGGTGGACTGGGTGGGCATCAAGCGTACCTGCTCCAATGGCCCGTTCGGGTCCTCGACAATCTCGTTCGTGTGCGCGAGCAGCATGAACACGCTCAAGAAGACGCGCGTCGGCGTCTTGCCGAGGTCGGGCGGGTCAATCGCTGTCTTCTTGACGCGCTGCAGGAACCGGCCCGTAATCTTGATGACAAGCGGTTTCTGGAGAACCGCCGCGGCCTCGGCAAACGGCATCGCCGCGAGCCGCTCGAGACCAAGAGCACCGCGCAGTGCCGACGGTACGACCACTGACCCGGCGACGGGTTTCTTCTTGCCAGCCGACGACGACGCGGTCTTGACCGGTTTAGCGGGCGACGCGCTCGGCGACGCAGCGTTACTCGCAGGCACCGACGCCGCGTTCACCGCAGCAGGCTTACGCAGCGCGACGAGCAACTTGCGCACGTCCGCAATCACGGGCGTGACCGTGACCTCGCGCCACCACCGCTGCAGCCGCGCGGCGGCCTGGTGCTTACGGTACAAGTCATTCAACAGCGCGTCGGGCCCTTCGGGCGCGTACATCCACGCGGCCCGCGGGAGGGCCTGCAACTGCATCCGGCGCCACTGCGACGCGCGCAGCTTTTTGTCCAACAAACGCTGCAACCGGCGCGTGCGCGCGGCCGACATGGCATTCGCGCGCTTGGCCACTTCCTTGGCGTGCCGCACCGCGTCCGCGGCAAGCGTCGCACGGCGCATCGTCCATTCGCGGCGGTTGCGCTCGGCGTCGTCGAGCGCACGCGCCATATCATCGCGCGCGGAAGCCGACGCGGCGGCGCGCGCGGCCTCGGCGGCACTGGCCGCAGCGACAATGTGGTCATGGTGGTGCGCGAGCTTGGTGAGCCGTTCGCGGAGCAGGGCGGCGCGTTTTTGCGCAGCCGAGTCAATGGAGGCCGGTTCGGTCGGGTCGGATTCGGCGTCTGACGCGGACCCCGACGCGGAGGCCGACCTGGAGCCGATGTCGGAGTGCGCCGAGTCGGTGCGTCTTGGGAACCGCTGGGCAACGTGCCGTGGGCGCTTGGCGACGCGGCGCAGCTGGCCATTGTCGATTTCGAAGGCGACGCTGGTCGTGGGCGACCCCGGGCGCTTGGCGAGCTGGCAGTCCATGGTCATGGTCGTGCTGAGGAGCGCGGAGCAAATCCGCTGCAGAGAGGGAGGAACGCGAGCGGGTTCCTTGGCGAGGAGAACAGGTTCTGCGTGACCGGACGAGCGGAGCGAGCGTTGGTGAGTAGTTGGAGCGGAAGGGATGTTCAATGGTGGAGGACGCCGAGGCAGCGCGGTTCCTGAGCCAGGCAAAAACGCGTCGTTCCTTGCTGGCGCGACCAAAGCACGTCTCGCAGCTTGGCTCACGATCGTCATGAACCAGCAACATCGCGTTTGCCAGCAAATCCGTACCAATGGCCGAGTCGCTGCACTTCGTTAAGCGACGACAGCGCGCTGTGCTGGCCAGCAGCAGACGGCGGATCTGGCCTTGGCGACCTCGAAATGAGAGCTTGTTCCGTCGCGATGGCGCCAGTTGTTGGGCTTGAACGGGTAGCGGGTCGAGCGGCCTATAAATAACGGCAAGCGGCAGGAACGGCGCGGTTGCGGGTGCTTCCAGCGTCAGCAGCTGCGGACGATTATTACGTCGAATAATCGCGGAGCGGTCATCATTTCCAGAGCCATCGTCCTCGGCATCCCGAAGACGTGTGCAAACAGGAACCCCGCCAGTCATGAGGCGGCGGCGAGACACGCTCCCTCTTTGTCGACCTTCCACCAAAAGCTGTATCCTATCGGTGGGTAGCGAACACCATGGGTGCGCGACAGCGTGACCTGCTGGCGTGCTGCTGCTGCTGCTGCTGCTCCTGCTGCTCCCCTGCTGCCCGTCACGTCCGCAGTCGCATCTCTCATGTCCGCCTGCCAGATATCGAATCGGTTGTGCCAAATGACCAGCATCGTCTCATCCTGCTCCCTCTCTCTAGGCCAGGACCAGTCGCCATCGCTCCGCGTCACATCATGAACCAATCAATGTAATGCGAGCATATGTACCTGTTTCAACGTTGACTTGCACGCACTTGCGGGAGAGGACGCGCACCAAGCCCCGTTGCAGATTTGACTGCCAGTCGCGCGTCTGGAACTTGGTTGGCCTCCAGGAGCGTGTCCGACACCGACTGGGCGCCACTCGCTTGACCACAAGGTCGCCGGCACCGGCCACGCTAGCGTCGATGGTGTTCTGTTTAGTCATCCCCGCAAGTCGTGCTCACCGCGCACCTCAGCTAGGTAGATGCTGGTTAGGCTGTGTGCGCCTCCTTGCTTCAGCCGTTATTGCGCCCTCTCCGCTCTGCGCAAGCTGCTCAATGCGGTGGAACAATCGTTTCTCTGACCTTGCAGTTGTTGACACAGGTGTTGCGCAGACTGCGTTCTGGAAGTGATTCGGTTCAGGTTTGCAACAAGAAGCGTGCCATCATGCCGACGTTAGGTTACGAACTATCGACGACCAGTTATTGTACCGTCAAGGGTCTTCTCTCACGGAGAGGAGAGTTGGAGGGGTCAAGATTGTTAACTTACGAAACGTAGACCGTTCGAGCGTCTTGGCGCAAGGACGATGTTTATTGGCTGACCTGCTACAAACCGTGCACGCCTAATGACCGTCGCTGGGAGAGCAATACGCAGAAGCAAGAATAGGAGAACCAGGGTGCAGCGTGGGGGTCAGCTCCGATACCAAAAATTGTCTGCCCGTGCACCTGGTCTGCCGTCCTCAGCAACATGAACGCGCGGGCAGCCGTTGAAGGGGGCGACAAGCAAGCTAGCCCCCTGTAAACGCAACCCATCAACCAACTCAACCTCCCCCACCCGACCAACCCAACAAATTCGACGAATCGGCGCCACGGAGAATGTCCGCGACGCGGCGGCGGGCTGCGAGCCGTGCCTCGCACACGGGGCGCGCATGTCGCGCCTCCTTATCGCCACACTGCACGTAGCGTGGCGCGACGGAATAGCGCGGGGCACGACGATGGCCACGGACCACAGCAATCTGGCCCGGTAGCGTCTTGGCGCAGAGGAAGCGCGCAGGGCCGAAAATTGAGGTCGTCGGATCGAAACCCACAGACGTTTTGTCGCTGCCGAGTCCGCCCAGGATCCGAATCGTCATGCTCCCGACGTGCTTTTTGTTCTGAATAGCGATCCAGTTTTACTGTGACGTTTGTCTGCTTTGAACTCAACTCCAAACAGGATCAACCGTGCTAAAATCGCTTGACCAGCCTTGTGGGATGTGCCCAGAGCAGCACGAGTCAACGGGGCGCGTCACCTTCCACGTTGTTGGTGCTCGTCTTCCCTGCTCGTTGCTCGACGCTGCAACGCTGTGTGCCCCGGCCGTCCTACTCTCCTCGCCGACTTGCTGCAATGAAAATTGGTCAGCATCTGGTCTTCTTTGGTCCATTGGGGCCGCGCAATGAACATTCCATCAACCAATGAATGAACAAACAACAAATCGGCCCCGCTCTTGTCAACAGGATTCTGCCAGTTTGAACCGAAGTTCAAGGACCCGGATGCCAACTTTGCCACGATCAACGAATGGACCGAAGAGTGTGTTTCTGTTCCTGTTCGCCATTGTGATCAGTTGTTCATCCGGACTTGGCTGATCGCCAGACCAAACCAATTCGACCCTACACCAGCATGGAACCCGGCGACGTGGACGTGCTGATGCTCCCGGAAATGGGGTTCACCGGGTACACGTTCAAGGACCTCGACGACATTCGCCCGTTTCTCGAATCGCACGACGGCCGCACCGTGCAGTGGTGCCAGCGCACGGCGCGCCGATTGGACGCGTGGGTCGTGGCCGGATTCCCGTCGACGGTGGTGGAGAATGGCGTGCCCAAGTACTACAACTCGATGTGCGTCGTGGACCGCACAGGCGCCGTCGTGGCTATTTACCACAAGCATTTCCTGTTCGAGACGGACGAGCGGTGGGCACATGAGGGGCCATCGTTTCGCGCGGTTCAGGATACCGAGTTTGGCACGGTACGCGTTGCGGTCGTGAATGTGCTGTGTGGTCGCGTTTCCGAGTGAAGCTGACTCTCTTCGGTCTTGTCGTATCGCGCACGTAGATCGGATTCGGTACGCCGTTGCACGCTGGTCGCGACGCAACGCATTCCCCACTCACTCTCAATCCCGTCCTCCACGTAGGCATTTGCATGGACCTGAACCCGCGGCAATTCAAGACCGACTGGTACCTGTGCGAATTCGCTAACTTCCACGCGACCAAGCGGTCTAAGCTGATCTTGTGCTGTATGGCGTGGTTGCGCCCGAAAGACGAGCCCGCCGACTCGGGCGAGACCAACACGACCATGACGATCCCCTACTGGATCGAGCGCCTGCGCCCGCTCGACGGGTCCGACACGACCGTCGTCATTTGCAACCGCACGGGCGGTGGCGCCGCCGAGGAGGGAGCCCGGTTTTGTGGGCATAGTTGCGTGATTCGGTTCCATAAGAACGCGGGGGTCGAGGTCGGGCATTGCGGCGAGAACGACGGGCTGTTTATTTTTGATTTGGATGCGTTTGGTGATGTCGATGATGACAATGAGTGATTCGCAAATGGACCGTTTTGATTTGGATTAGCACACCATTCTTTAGTACAAAGCAAAAATGATCTTTTCCCACTCATCCACGCACACATGCTGCCGGCCTATTTGCGCACCTGCGTCCACTTGCGACGCAACCGCGACAGCGACTTTTCCAGCGCCGACTCCTTGACCGCATACGTCTCGACAACCACCTCCCACTGGCGGGCGAGCTGCTCGTCGCCGCTCGTGCGCACCATGTACGCAACCCGATCAAAGTCGCGCGGCACGATGCGCACACCATACTCGCGCGCGCAGTGCAGGAGCAACGCCACCGCTTTGCGCGGGTACTCGACCGCGACCCCATTCACGCCCGTCACGACCAGCTTATACAGTACCGGCCGCGTCATCGTGTGCCGCGCCATGAACGCCTCGTGCGCCGAGGAACCGCGCATCGTTGGGTCGGCGCGCTGCCGTTCCTGAACGTAGCGAGCGCACGCTTTGCGCAGGTCGCGGTACCACACTTCCCAGGCCGCCCAGACGGCGACACCGTGGTGCCGCTTGGCGACGGCCGCCGCGGTCCACATGGTCGGTGCGTGTGCGCGGTCCGGCGCGTCGAGTTCTGTCGGCGGGGTGTCGCCGACAGCGGGTGCGGCAGAAGCGTCCGGTAGCGGGTCCTCCATGCAGTACGATAGCGCGAGACGGAAGGTCATGCCGTTGCGCCGCGGCATCCGGTCGAACACGGCCATACCGTCGTCGCCGTGGTGCGGGAAACACGTGGCCAGATACGCATTGAGCAGGTCGAGCGGGGTGTCGGGCGAGGGAGGGGCCTCATCGAGCGGCCGCACTGACACAGCGAGTTCGTCGATCAGCCGGTCAATTTCGGCGCGCGGGAGGAGCGCATCTACCTGGTCGCGCAACGACCGGCGCGCGCGCACCTGCTCGACGGACACAGTCCAGAGCGCCTGGGCGCGCAGGTACTCGGACTGCATGTCCCACCGCGCAGCCTCGGCCCAAACGGCGCGCCCGAGCGTGGTCCAGTCCTGTGTGCGGCGCGCGCATGCCATGAGTGATCCAAACGTGCGCGCGTCCGGGCGGAACTCGGCGGCGAGACACTGCAAGTAGAAATCAAGTGCCTGCGGCGCATAGTCGCGGCGTTTCGACATGGCGTGCAGGAGAGAATTGATGGTGACAGTGGTTGGGACGAGATGGCTTGCGCGCATCGTGTCGAACAGCGACAGCGCCTTTTCGACATCACCCGACTGCGCGCACACGGCCATCATCAGCGAATACGTGACTTCGTCGGGCAGCGCGTACTTGAGCTGCATCCGGTGGAACAGTTTCCAGGCCACATCGGTTGCGCGCAGGCGGTGGAACCCGGCAATCAGCGACGTGAACGTCGGCTGCGGAATCGCGCGGCCCGACGCCTCCCATTCGTCGACGAGATCGAGCGCACGATACGGCTGCTGCGCCTTGACGAGGTGGTCGACGAGAATCGTCAGCGAGTAGTCGTTGGCAAGTTTGCGTCGTTTCAGGTCGTTGAAGAAGACGAGCGCGGCTTGGATGTCGGCCTGTGCGAGCGCCCACAGTCGGTCGTTGTGGATTGGCGGCTCGAGCGGCAGCTTTGCGGTCTGCGCGAGCTGGTAGAGCTGCTCGACCACGTCCGTGTTTCCCCTCCGTGCCTACGGAATTGCGAAATCAGTTGGACATCGACGAACGTCGACACGGCGAGTTGAGAGAGACCATACGTTGACCACCATGGCACGATGCAGCGCGACCAGACTGTTGAGCGGCGATAACCTCCTCTCATGCGCTGCCGGAACGCTGCTGCTGTTGCTGTCATCGGAGCTCCTGGTTGATGTGGCGTGCTCGTGCTGCACCCACTCGTTGATCGCCTGCGTGGCCTCGGTCGTGACCTTGACTATTGTCGCATCGTCGACCTTATTGAGGTCGCGCGTGTCAAGAATCGTGACATTTGACAGGTACGACGTCGGAAAGGGCGCGAGCGGTGCTGCCGTGCCATCGGTCTATTATTACGCATCGGTGCCAGTCGCGGATCATGGTCAACAATGGCGAAATTGGTCCATTTCGAGAATCGGTGCAGTTGCGGGTACTGACACTTAACCAGCGCGGCGCTGACCTTATCCACGGCGTCAGATGCTGTGCTGCAAGTCGTGGAAGTCGCCACATAGATTTGTTGGAACAGTTGCGCTTGCCGTTGCTGATCGAATCTCAAATTCGACTTGGTGGAGGAGGTCGGTGAGGTGATCGTGTTGATGTCTGATCATGCGCCATGTGACGAGTCGCCATGCCTTTGGAGGTGCCGTGGTAACCTAACCTGGTGCGGTTCTGGCCACATCATTCCCAGAAGTCGTTCAAGTCAGTCATTCATTCAAGCCGCCTCGGTGTCAGTTCTTCGTCGTCGACGTCGACAACACGCATCTTGAGCGCTGGAATCACGTCGTCGAAACGTGTCTTTCCGCATTCCAATGACGGTTCCCAACACAGATCAGCCCACCCGGCAAGCGCCGCCAAATGGTCCAACTCCCGCGCCAGCAGCATGCACAGCACCAATATCAGCACCCGCGATCGGCTCCGTCTTCCCGCTCGCCCAGTTCACGAAGAAATTCATGGAGGAGGTGGTTCACTTCATGATCCTCGAATTGGACCACACATACCTGGTCTGGGTCGGTTCGGGCGAGGGCAACATGAGCAATTTGGCTGTGGCTACGGCGCTCGGATCGGTACGCGCGAGTCTTCTTTGTTTTGACAACCGACATGTACTAACCATTGTCTATTACGCAGAGCGCGTCCGCGTCGACGCTGATCGGGCCGTCCATGACCGCAACCAGCGCGTCGATTGCCAAGCGACTCGGTGCGTCGCCTCGTGTCATGACGTTGCAGGCCGACCCGACTCATGTTTGGTCGAGTGCTGACTTGAGCCCCACCCCTTGGATTCACGGCCATATAGCGGCGCGGTTCACCAGAAACCAGTTTTTTGTCTCTTACGCGCTCGATGAGACCAACGAAATGCAGGCTGTGTGGGCCGAGCGTGCCATTTTGGAGGCACTTCGCGCGGGCAGCATGCTTAGCGCACCAGTGGCCGCGACGGGGGCCGTGGCGAGTGCAAGAGCGTGAATCAAAGGAATATATGGACACATTTGGACACGACAATCGAACAGGCGCTTCTATGGATAATGCCTCGCTGGATCTCGTGATCCGGGTCTCGATTGGTCGCACGCGTCTCCCGCGTCTTGATGAAATGCTGATTACGTCCGACGCACTCACTCCCTCCTGGTCTCCAACGGCCTCAAAGCCGCCCATCAATGCCGAAACTTGGCATCAATCCCAATCGTCGCGGCCAGGAACCGGCGCCGGCACCCATCACTCATGAACTTGGCGTCGGAAACAGCCAATCGACACGCGACCATGTCAAACAGCGAAGACGGGCGATTGAACTGATACACGAGGACGCGCTCGTACGTTGCTGCAAAAAGCACGGTGGACGATCGTTAGCGACGTCGATATCACATCAGAGAAATTCACGACAAGAAA